CTGGGGTCAATTTGAGCCCTATCGCCAGTTTAATGACTGCTCAATTAGATCAAAAATTTCTAAAGGTCCTCTCAATCAAGTTTTTAAAACAATTTCTGAAAAAAAAAACATTGTTCCTTTTTGGGAACTTATTTTAGTCGAACGGAACGTTAAACAAAATTCAATTATAAATTTCGTATAAATTTTATGCATTCATGTTTAATATATAAAAATATTTTATAACAAGTCATTTCTTTATTATTTCAAAATGGCCGTTTTAAAAAGAATTCGAATATCGAAATTAGAGATCCGAAATCCGAAATCCGGGCCCAGCTAAAAGCTCCATAAAGTCTTGGGCAATCACATCCCTTCAACTCATTATTTGGGGCATCCTCTTCTTCGTTTACCTCCAACTTTCTAGTCTCGATATTTCTCCGCAATATCTTCCCGCCTCGTCTCTCTCCCTCCTTTCTGCCGCTCGACCCTACTCCGATTAAACGCTCAACAGCTAGCTTTACCGTTAAATAAATGATTTATAAAATTTACAGTTTCCTCGAGTTGCAAAACTGTCAAATCATTTATATTGAAATTTATTCGATCGAAAGCTATGCAACCCTTTTTTCGTTGAATCTACACCCCCCCCCCCCCCCATTTCACACACACACAGAAGCTGCTCTGAGAATAAGATAGTAATCATTGAAAATAAAGTATATGCCAGTTTGGATAGGCTAATATTTTTTTTATGTTATTTAATAGAATCATTAAACTTATTTATATGTATTAATAATTACTAAGTTTTGTTTCCACTATAAATTTTTATAAGGATGCCTTTATTTCGTAAAAAACATATAGAACTAAACTAATTCGTTATAAATAAGGTAATGAGGTTGGAGTTTAGTTAGTTTAATTTTTTAATAATAAAATATTAATTATTATATGAATAAATATTTATATAATGGGCGCCAGGTATATAATAAATTTAAATATATATTCTTTCTTTCTTTCTTTCTTTCTTTCTTTCTTTCTTTCTTTCTTTCTTTCTTTCTTTCTTTCTTTCTTTCTTTATATATGGAATCGTGAATTAATTTGCAAGATTTTAATCAAGAAATTTTTATTGTTTAATAAGCACACCTAATAATATTATACAAGTAGACATTTTTTTTTAAAAAAAGTTTGAATTCTTGCTTATAGTGTTGTTAAAAAGTCGAGTTCATCCGACTCCGACTCAGAGTCTCGAGTCGTTAGTCGACTAACTCAAGTCGTGAACTCAAATCGACTCGAATTATGAACTCAAGTTGATACAAGTCGTGAACTCAAGTTCACAAAATATTCGTCCTCTTTGAACTCGTCAACTTGACTTATATATAATTATTTATATTAAGTGTATATTTTTATTTTAAAAAAAAAGATTTAAAAATAAAACGAAAACAAAAAAAAGAATAGAAACACGAAAAAGGAAATGGAAAAATGTTATAAAAAGAATATAACGGCAGACTTTTTTGTTGTTAGAAAAATTAATATACAAATTTATATTATTCGAATTTTTAAATTTATCAATTGATTAAGATGGGGGCCGAACTGTGCTGGCACGCAGCGCTTCGAACCGAACCGCTAAACCGGAAGAAACCGTTGCAAATTTTCTTAACCGTTAACCGAACCGTTATAAAGAAAATATAAAAAGGAGCGAACCGAACTATGTTAAAACCGGTTTTCATAACCGATAATTTTATATTTGTTAAACCTTATAAATATGAAATTTTAATTTCCCTTAGGGGGGACAATTTATAAAATTCGCGATATCTTTTGCAAATTAGCCAAAATTTTCATATATCAATCTATACCAAGTTTATTATTTTTTTTAACTTTTATATACACAATTTAATAAGAGATTAGACAAATTACCAGTTAATTAGATAAGAAATAATCTTGCACGGTTAAATTAAATAAGGAATTATAATCATATAAAATTTTATAAAGGATTTTTTTTTTCTCTATAAGATTCTTGTGTGTGGATTCGGAATCTCTCAATTTTAAATCATTTAATAAGGGAATTTTTAGATTTTGAAAATCTCATTTTACAGGAAATGGATTTAGGCATGTATAGTAAATTTCAGACAATTCTGCAACGAACTTTAGAAAACTACTCTTAATTTAAAATTAATTTTTATATGGAATTTTCATTATAAATTTTTTTTAAAAAAATACCAAATGTCTATGGCTGAAATTGGCTTAAATTTATAGGGTTAAATACTTTACACGTGATAGAATACATTTTCGGTTAAATCGGGTTTTAAAGTTAACGACTAACGGAATGAACCGAAAACCCGTTATAAATTCTAAACCAAACCGATACGAATGAACCGAACCGGTATACTTAACCGGTTCGAAGTCATCCTGGCATGGCACATCAGCATTTTTTTATGGTATTTTTGCAATATAAATTTTAGATTCGTCATTAGCAGAGTTTTTAAAGGATCTAGATATAAAAATGTAATATCTGTATCTGAATCTAGATAGATTTTTTGATTAAAATATCTGTATCTAGATACTGTTTTAGACGATGTATCTATATCTAGATCCATTTAAATAGTATCTTTTAACAACTCTGGTCATTAGTATTAATGATGGATTATTCGAAAGGTATGATATTTTAAACTAAAAGTTTGTGGATTCCTAACAAAAAAAATAAAGTCCGCACGTTCACAACAACAACAACGTCAAAAATTTGATTATGTAGCATGGCAATGTGTGTATGTTAGATAATTTCTAATTTGAGTAAATTGATATGATGTCTAAAATTGCCTATTTTTTTTTTACAAAATAAACCTAGCTTAAATGTATAAATTATTTCGTCTTAATTTCTAAACCAGGGGTAAACCCGAACCGTTAGACCGGTATTAACCGTCATTACTTAACCGAACCTAAATCGGAGTTGAACAGTTGATCAAGCTTTAAAAAAGAAGAAGGTATTGTGAACTGTTTTTTAACTTTTTTATAACCTCAACGTGTTTAAAGACAATTATAATTCGATTGATTAAGTAGTACAAGTCGTTTATATTTTTCCTTATATAGCTTATTTGATTATACCCTTACCCACCAATAGAAATGTTCCCAAGTATCAAATTTTAATTATTTTTTTATTTCCCCCCCATATAGATAATAGTTACAATTTGAACAGAAGCGATTCTTGAAAATATTTATAATTGTAACGGCACTTTGATCAAAAATAAAATTTTGTATCTGTATATTAGTGGTGTTCGATACAAAACAATAAAAAATAAAGTTAGCCATTTTATGTATGCGATTTTAAAAATTCGAAAGGTGTTCTTCTCTACTCTAATATATACTTAATTTATTTTAATAAATAGTTTTCAATTGATAAAAAAAAATTTATTAATATGTTTGAAAGAGTACGAATCTAACTTAAAAAATTTTTTTTACAAACCGAACTTGAACCAGTACGTTTAAACGGATCGAACGGGTACTGATATTCGATAAGGTAAGGACCCCTGTCTTAACTCAAATACGCTCAACAAATAACTATGCAAACATCGGTTCTTAGGATTACCTGATCAAATTAAGTATTATAAAAGTATCGGAAAGTTAAAATTTTAAAACAAAGCCGATTGTCAGGATCTGGATATTTATAATTCAAAGTTCTGAACCTAAACCTAAAAAAAATGGGATTCCTGGATATACATATTTTTCCAAAGTAACAGTTCTAGTTCCGGTTTTGAGGTTTATTAGACCCTGTTCCATAGGTACCCGTTTATAAAAATAGTTGAATATGAAGAAGAAGAAAAAAATTAAAAATTATAATAAGTTCAAACTTTTTTAAATCTGTTAGTCAAATGGTGTCAATTTCTCAAATTTAAATAAATGTTTTATTATAGTAGTTTTTTTGTATAAAAACTATGAATTTAACCAGAAATGTGTTCTAACATGTTTAGAAAACTTATTATGCAATTGCTATCTATTGATCCAAAAGTTAGGGGCCTAAATTGTCTGGAAATCCCAAGGCAAGATACTAAAACCTTCCATAATACATTTCCGTTTAAAATCGGCGTTTTTAAAAAAACATTTATCGTCACAATTTTTTGAAGAAAAAAAATTTTTTTTTAAAGATTTTGTCAGTTCTCCTTCTCCGGTGCAACGGATATCTACTTCCGGTTCTAAATGCCTATATAAAACTATCAAATTATTGATTCGTAACTAATATCTAAAATGAGTGCTTAATTTTAATAGGTTTATAATATATATAATAAATAATATTATACTATTTTTTATTATATAAAAAATTAACTCGTTACCAGATGCTAGGCGAACATCATGTAAGTAAACTCATTAAAATTACGGTAAAAAATATGTCTAAATTATTACTCATAAACTGGTAACAATTTCTATTTTTTTAAAAAAACCAATCGAATTTAACTATTAGTATAAAAAAAATGAATGAAACATAATCATCGGAAATAGACCACAAACCAACTCTTTTTTAAAATATTGTATAAGCTTTTCTTTCGCATAATAGGATAGGGTTGAAAATTTGCAATTAGAATAATGTGTAATAATTTTTGTTTTTAAGCATCCCTTTTTTCTAGATGTTAATAAAAGAACCGTGTTACTTAAAATTCCAAAACTTAGAGAATTAGCGACAATTTGTTACTGAAAAAAAGGGATATAAATAAGTTTTTTACTTTAAGAAATGCCGCCAATTCTTAATAAATAAATCTTGAATCTGACAGTTCATTGAATTTATAAAAAAAAAAATTAACAATTGGGTTTAGGAGGGAGGGAAGGTATTTATAAATTTATTAATATAAAGATCCAAAAAAAAAGAATAATATATAAAAAGATATCAGTATTTTTTGACCCAGGGTTTAAAGATTGTTTGAATTATGATTCCTAAAATTGGCACCGACTTTTAAATTATCAATCTTAGTTTTTTTTTTTTAAAATACCATCAATACCAAAGTATAATATCGTGAATTATAAAGCATATTTATAGTGTTTTTTTTTACCAAAAGGTCTTTTGTCGGGATAACACCAATGGAATAACCCTCTCGTCCGGTCTACTAACAATTTGGTGCGGTTAACCGAGTCGAGACCGCGGATTCCCGGATGTTGCCTCCTCAGGTCACTGATTATGTTGTTGTGGTGGACATCGTATTTGAGCCAGAAATCCGTGGCGAATCCGACAACTATACAGGTCACCGCCGTGAGCAGGAGCAAGGAGCCTAGCGATAGCAGAATCGCCGATTTGATGGACATGTTTGTATTTTAATATTCGACTCGTTTTTTTTTTTAAATATTCCCGATAAAAAGTTGCAGGGATTCCTTATCCTTTTATCAGTGGCGAATTTTTCTCGTTTCTCCTTTCTTTCTTTTATATATTTTTATTTTTTAAGTTTTTTTATTTTTCGAAAATTAAAATAATTTTTCGACAATTTTTTCTTTAAAATTTATTTTTATTTTTACTTACTTATCCGAAAATAAAATTATAAAAAAGTAAAAATAAAATTATGAGAAAATAATAAATAAATAAAAAAATTGATTAATATTCAAGGATAATAAATATATATAATTTATATATTTTTTTTGTATATAGGAATGAGGAATGAAAATGAATAATTAATTATATAATATTATATAGATAGATATTTTTTTTTACATATAAATTAAGCTTGAGCGATTTGTTTTATATATATTTTGTTTTTAAAATTGAGACGATTAGACCGCGCGTATTAGTTAAAAAAGGAATTCCGTAAAAATTCTTTATTCCGGAAAATTTTCCTAAAATAAAGAAAGAATGATTATGATTGAGAATAAAGTCGAATCCAAGCTAAGAAGAATGCTTTAAAATAAAAAAATCTTTGGTGCGTATATTGGGAATTATCATCATTTTAAAGAATAATCTTCATTTTTTTTTCGAATTACATCATTATACCAATTATATAAGTTGGACAAAGTTATTTTTTTTAAATTTATAATTTTTATTTAATTTTAATATTTATGTTTGTTTTATATTAAAAATATAATCATAAAATTTTAAAATTAAAGGTAAATAAAATAAAGTAATTTTTTTTTTATAATGGGGTCAGTAAATAGATAAATAAAAATAATAACTTATTTTTTATTTTATTTTGCACAGTATGTTATATATTTATATTTATTATAATAAAATAAAATAACATTATTTTATGATATTATATATTATTAATATATAGATTATATAAATTTCTCATGACATTTTTTTTTATGCACAAAATTTTTATCAATAAGAAATGAGACTTGTTGTCCAATTTTGATAATAAAATACAAATGATAAATTTTTAGAAAATTTTTTTTTTCATTATTTTTATATATATATATATTATATATTTTTTTTTTAAATATAAATTCATTTTATTATATTAGGAATATCATAGATATATATAAAACTATATCACAATTTTAAAATAATACTTTGAACGTTAAAAGTAAAACATATATACGTAATTTAAAAATATATATTAAAAATATCATGTAAACTATTTGTAAATTAAAATCTGTATAATAAAAAAAAATATATATATATTGTATAGTAAATTAATTGTATGTTGTGTGGGAGTAGGTCAAGAAAGAGAGCCGTGGATGGCAATCCAGTTAGATCTGCATATATCAATAGATATGCGCTGTCTGAGATAGAAGCCTTCCTGTGGGACACCAATGATGGCGCCGATTTTTTTAACAAGAGATTTGAAGAAAGTTAGGGCATGATTTCCAAAAAACCCGTTGTGTCGGATATGATTGGTATGAGATTGCAATTGGTTAGGGAAGTGTATTTATTAATTTTTAGAGTTTCAGCTCGCACGAATGAGTTGTTATTAAAGGAGGGAGCAAATCGGTCGATGCGTAATATTATTCTAGATGAAATACTGAGTTAACCGTTTAACAACACTAGTCGGCATAATAATGAAAATCAAAAGTGATAATATTTAAGGTTAAGGGTTACAAGTTTAAATATTTATGATATATGCAAAAAATTTTTAAGGAATTTGTTCCTTAGATTCACCATTTTTTAAAGAAAATTGCGTCCCTTTGGGGATCATTTTGTAAATGTTTGTGATTTATTAACCCTTTGTATGTATAATGTTTTCGTAATGTAAAATAAATTAATGTTTTGTTTATCAATTTTGTTTTTTAATTATTATCAGATAATTTCATTTTATACCTTGTTGTTTACCCGTATTGCCCCCCCCATATTTTAATCGGGTATTTAAGTAATAATAAATAGTAAATAAATAAATAAATAATAATTTATGAATGAATAAATAATTCTTATAATATTATAAAATATAAGTGAATATTATTATAAGTAAAGAGATAATAAGAAATAAACTTTTTCATTATTTATTTTCGGGACAAAGGCTTTGCCTACCGCCATTATTCGTTATAACTTTGTGATGTTCAAAAAATAATAATTTAATCGGGTTCGGGTCGGGCCGGGTTGAGTCAAAAATTTAGTTTCGGGTCGGGCCGGGTTGAGTCAAAAAATTTAGTTTCGGGTCGGGCCGGGTTGAGTCAAAAAATTTAGTTTCGGGTCGGGCTCGGATAAAAAAATTTTTTTTAATAATTCGGGAGCTCAAAATCACCTTGCAGACCTCTAGCGTAGAGTTGCCTAGTTTAAAAAAGTCCGATTTGGTTAGACTTTTTCAAAACGGTACATTTTAAGAATTTGGCTATATTATGTAAGCATCGATATTTTGGCAACAAAAGGATCTCCAAGCATTTCTGCATAACGTTATTTTGATTATAATCTTAATCTGGCCCTTGGCCCTTTAACAGCACTAGTTCTAGCCATCTAATTTATATTTCCTCCATCGAATAATCTTCCTTACTTTCTTTCCCTTTATCCTTCTTAATTTCTCTTTTTTTTTTTACGCTATCTCCATTATTTATCCTACCGTTCTTTCCTAAATTCTAATTTTTTAAATATCTTTAAAATTAATTTAGAAAAATGGTATTTTTTTTAAAGTTAATATTTACTCAAATTAGAAATAAATTATTTTTTAAAAAAGTACACATTATTTTAGATAATTGTGAGCCAAAAATAAAGAGGGATATTATTTGGAAGCTATTTTTCGCAGCTTCATATATGGAATTATATAAAAATAAATAAATCTTTTTTTTTAAAAGATGTTTACAAACGTAATTAAAAATAAGATGAATTTAATATAATTCCTATTGAACATTGTAAGTAAAAGATCAAAAAAAAAGTTAGATTAAAAATTAAATTGATATTGATTGATAAACAAGTTATTAAGCCAAAAAAATAAATTAATTATAAAATTATCTTTTTTTTCTGATAATAATAATCAAAAAGGTAAAAATAAAAAAATTAATAATATATGTTTAATTATATCAGATTATATTTTTTTTGTCATCGTTTTTAAGAGTTGGCAAATCTTTTATGTTTGTATTCAAGATTGATATCCTAAATTTTGTATTTTATTTATATAAAAAAAATAAATTTGGGTGCCATTTTCACGCTTTTTGGGATTTCTTTCAAAGCTCGAGGCTTGAAACTCTTAGAAACTGTGGTTAAGATTCTAATAACTCCTACGGTCCTTCTAGGAAGATATTACCGAAGACCACATTTTATATATATATAAAAAATTTTTTTGCTAAACTCTGGTATTTTTAATCGGATTTTATTAAGATCTTTGTTGGTATATAACTCGCACCCCCCCCCCCCCCAGTGAGACAAACTTGGCCTCCATTTATATGAATTTAATAGCAGTGTAGAAAGGGGTAGGATTCCTATTTGATCTATATGGCCTGGTATATATCATCTGTAGATTTTAATATTCCATTATATTCATATATATATATAATAATTCCATTCTTGTTCATCAAAGAAACAAATAATATTTTGGATTGTTTTTTTTAATTTTATATAATGCGCAAATTTATGACCCATGAATATTTTTTTAAGAAAATTCGGGTCGAGCCGGGTCGGGCCGGGTCGGGCAAAACATTATAAAAAAATCCGGGCCGGCCCGGGCTCGAAAAATTACGATGCAGATTACTAATCTCAACTGTAAAATGAATCCGGTTTCCGTAAAGGATACGGAAAAAAAGTGAAAGAGTTAACATAAAGTTTTTTTTTACATGGATATATTTATAATTACTTCATTTTTTTTCCGTGATTATCGCTTAACTATATATCAATCTACGTGCTTCCCCTAAATCAATGACATTTATCCCCCACCCCTAAATCTATCTGGCCTCTCACTTATATCATACTCCCTATCTAAATTTGCAAAAAAAAAAAAAATAGTAAATCAAAATTTTAGCAACATAAAAACTAAATTGGCAAAAAAAAAAAACAGAAGAAAGACTGTAATAATTTGTTAAATTAGGTTTGTTTTTTTTTTTTGTTATAGCATAAGATTTTTGGTTAATTGATCTAAATAAATATACAATAAAATCACTTTAATATGATTATGTTATTTTTTATATATTTTTGGCAATATATTTTTTTTTTTTGATTTATAATTATAATTAGCTAAAGGATTACGTAAATGCATTCTAGTGACTTCTTCCAAGTCTATGATCAAAAAAAATTTCAATTTCGATAAAGATCTTAGGGTCATATCCTCCCTCTCTCCCCCGCAGTAGAAATAATTCTGGGGTCTGTAGATGAATTACGAATATACTCTTTATATCTTTTTTATAATTTTCCAGAAGAATATTAGTAATAAAAATAAAATAAAAATTAACTTAAATAATATCATTAAAATATTTAAGAAGGTTTGAATGAAATAAATACAATATTGATATCATTTTTTTTTAGATTGGTAAGCATCATCTTGAAATGCTCAGTTCTAATCGCAAAATTCTGGCAACTTTCATTATATCATCATAGTGACAGACATCACAAATCTCGGCATTCTCACAGTGTAATTTTGCTGACATACCTAAATCTTTACATATTTCATCGCTCCCCAATACAACTCCAGCTAAAAATTCTCCCTGAGTTGAGCTATCTAATTCTAAATATAAAAACTTAGTAATTATCTAGGAGTCCAGTTCTAGGGGGATAATAATAATAATAATATTCTGATATTTAATAAATAAATTTAGCACTGACTTACATGTTTTTTTTTAATAAAATTATAATTTATTGATTTACTATTTGTTAATTTAAATATTTATTAAGAATATATTTATAAATTTTCAGTTTCTTTAAAAAAAAATTGATACATAAATTTATACATCTCATCTTCTTTAATTAATTAACTAATTGAACATTTTTTAAAAAAAAAATATATAAACTATGCAATTGAGGTCATGTTATATCTACTATGTATTAATTATTTACTATATAAATAATGTTATTATTATCTTTATTTTTTTTTGCTTACATAATAATAAACCATTTTTTTGCGTGTTTTAAATCATTATGTTTTTTTTAGTTTTTTTTTTCAAGAAGATA